ATATGAAAAAAGTTTATATAGAGTTGATGCTCTAAACAATGAAATTAGAGCGCACATCAAATATTTCACTAGAAGATGTTGTTTTGATGGCCAAATATACTCAAATTGATTATCTCGACATCAGATACATAGACATGAGAAAAAAATGGATTTCAAGTTTTGAAAATAGCTTGTCTTGTAATGCATTTTTGGACCGTCAATTTTCAAGTTTTCATAGATCTGCCCGATCTATATTCTTTTTTAAGCTTTAAATTTTATAATTAAAGATGCAAACATATTTTAAAGACAAAAATTTCCAATATTGAAACTGCCATTCTAGACATTATTTAAATGTTCGCTCTACTCTCACTGAGGCCTTTCAATGGATGTGGTTTTTGTCCTAGGCCCTGGAAGATGCTAAACCCTAGAAGGTGAAGTTTGATGGGGGAAGTTGAGTGATGTGGTTTTTGTCCTAGGCCCTGGAAGATGCTAAACCCTAGAAGGTGAAGTTTGATGGGGGAAGTTGAGTGCTTTAGGAGAGGCGGAATTTTTATGGGAGAGGAACTTGGTGTATGCAAACCCTAGTGAAGGTGAGGCTTTCTCACTTGCATGATGCTAAAAGTTTTGCCAGCTTGCTCATTTACCGCACTGAGTCGGGCAAGTGGAATCAGATCCAGTGGGTTAGTGGTAGAATGAACCGGTCTACCTCTTTAAACATTATCGAGGTCTAATTTATTTTTGAAAAATTATCAGAAATATAATTTAATAATAGTTTAATTGGAAAAAAACTCCCAACTTTCGTAAATCTCGTCTACACTTCTTTTTTTTGGTTTTTTTTTATTATCAAAATGACCTTCATGGTAGTCGTATTATCGTGAAAAATATTACGGTATTTTAAGTACTATAATGTTTAGCCCATTTTATACGGTACTTCAAGGACCGTAATGTTTAGCGCATTTTATACAGTACTTAAATACTGTAATGTTTACATTTTATATAGTGCTTTAACTACCGTAATGTTTAACGCATTTTATATGACACGCTTATTACCATAATATCTCTAATTACTGTACTCAAACTACCAAGCGTTGAAAGGTTAAAAGAGAACAGTGGGGCAGATCTAATGAGCTCCAATTTTGAAATCAATTTCTCGTCGAGTAGATCTTCACTCATGAGTAGGGGTTTGGAAGAGATAAATTCAGTTGATGATGATAGAGAAAATATGGTTTGCAGAATAAGAAACTTGGATAATGGCACTGAATTCGTCATCAATAACCCAAGTGGCAATCGAGTTTTAAGCAGGCTGAGAAGAGTAGGCTCTGATCGTTTGGTCACCATCGACGAATTTTAGACAGACATTGGGCGCTCTCCATTTGTGCAACATTTCATGCGACGAGATCTTGTTGAGTCTCGCATTTCTATAGAGGGTTTGAAGAGAAAGAAGGGTTGGTTGAGAAGCTTGAGAGTAGCAACAAGCATTCTGAAGAGGAACAAAGAGGGTGGTAGTTCTAGCAGGTCATGTAATTCTGAAAATACTTTTGGCTCATCAAATTCTGCGAACTCAATTCACCAAATGCATCATAGTGTGAGAGTTTGCCATTGTAAAAAGCTGTGTAAAGAGTTCACACTCTTTAAGGGAATATGTGAAATCTATTACGAGCAAAATGGCTGTGAAATCCATTACGTGTGGGTAATCTAAGCACGTCACTTGCCTAAAACAAATCCACTATCTCTTGCCATTCGCTCTCCTATGCACATCCATTCTCTTCTCATTTTCCTTCCCTCTTGAGCATATCCATTTCTACTTTCTCTCTCAACTCCACTTATAACCGATAAGTGCTTAAATTATATAAAATTTCCCCAAAATGCTCCCTCTCTGCTATGTACATCTACTTTCTTTCTGTAACTCCACCTATAAGCTCTCTTATGTACATCTACTTTCTCTCTTAACTCCACCTATAACTGTTTAAATTATATAAGATTTCCCCAAAATACTCCCTCTCTCCTATATACATCTATGTACATCTACTTTTTCTCTTAACTCCACTTAACGGGTAATCTAACTATGCTCATCTCTTACCAAAAAAAAATCATCTATCTCCTGCCATTCTCTTCTTTTCCTTACCCACCACTTACAAAAAAATCATCTATCTCCCGCCATTCTCTTTCTCACCTACACATCCATTCTCTTGTCATTCTACACACAAAAAAATCATCTATCTCCCTCAATTCTCTTTCTCACATGCACATCCATTCTCCTGTCATTCTACACTCTACGGTGCATATCCATTTCTACCTACCTTTGTAACAATTTGGGTCCTAACCATCATATGAAGCCATCAGCTCTCATATAAAAACAAAAATAATAAGAATAATAATTGGTAATCAAATGAGAAATTACATAACACAATGATAATAAAAAATTTCACATAATATAATCATCATAAGAGATTAGTAAAAGCTCAATTGAAATAACATACCTCTTTACTCTCCTCCAATGCCTCAAATTTTTTTACTACAATTACCAACATTTACTAATCAAACTTCTTCTTAATTTTTAACTTGTACCATAAATTTTTTGAATTTGATATCAAAATTTATTGCTTATTTGAAATTATATAAAGAGACATTTGAAATATTTCTATAAAAAATAAATAAAAATAAGGCTTATCACAATAAAAACATGTTACTCTAATCATATTATTCCAATGACTTATCATGTTGAAACCAAAGTTTAATCATATTAGAAAACATGTGATTCCATGTAAGTGCCAAAGACATGCAAAATAAGTAGGAAATGTGATTCCATGTAAGTGCCAAAAACATGCAAAATAAATAGGAAATGATGTGATGATGACTTTAGAATGGTACAAGTTATTATTAAAAAATCTATTCAGAATAGTGATGATGTTATTATTAAAAAGTTTTTTTGGAATGATGTGATGATGACTTTAATTCCGTATTTCAGTAGAATTTTGTGACAAAAAAAAAAGAAATGATAGTTTATAAGTAATTGCTCGTAAAATATTGATAATGAAATTCTCATATCTCTTCCAGATATAGCCAAACAGTAGCAATGTATTTACCTGGTTGCATCTAAATACTACCCAAATCGTAACAATCCATTTGGTAATGTATTACGCAAGCAATATATTTCCAAGTATCCAAACGATCCATAAAAGTGGAGATATTATGGTATTAAAAGTGCCGTATAAAATGCATCAAACATTACGGTAGTTAAAATAACATATAAAATGCACTAAATATTACGATACTTAAAGTACCGTAATGTTCTTCAGGGTAATACGACTACCGTGAATGTTATTTTGGTAAAACCAAAAAAAAATCGAAAATAAGAAAAAATAGTGTAGACAAAGTTTACGAAAGTTTGAGTTTTTTTTTTCCAATTAAGCTAAAATTAAGATATATTTATGATAATATTCTTTTATTTTTTGAGTTATTTCATTTTCACTCATTTAGAATGAAAGTCTAACTTTTAAACTGCTCTAAATACAAAAAATTGATATATTTGAACTGTTCTAAAATTAAGACTTTTGAATTGCCCGAAACATATGTTTTAGTGATTCTAAGCTCAAATTTTTTAACCAACCAAAATACAAGATAATTAATGTGCTCGGGTAGTTTGGAAGTTAGAAGTTCGAATTGTCTAAATACACCCGTTTTTTTGGTGGGTGGTTGAAAAGTTTAAGACTTTGAATGGGGAAAAATGAGAAAAGAAATATTAAAAAACGTAGAACCCGAACATAATGACCCAAAATACATCGCAGAAAAAATTTGATGTTATCCCATGGTCCATATTTTGGCTGCATTATGATGAGGTGTTATTTTTGTTTTTTGAATTTCTTTTTTCTTTCTATATTACCCCCAATATGAAATTTTTATTTTAATTTTTTTTTTTAAAAAAAAAGAAAGAAAAAGAGAAGATGTGGCATGAAAAGTGGACTTTCAAAATTTTCATATAAACCTGAAAATTGGTGGGTCAACATCTCAATGGGGGGCGTCTACAAAAAATATTTAAAAAATATTTATAAAAAATAAAAAAGACCACATTACCCCTGAAATTTTTTGGGTACTTTGATTCGTTTATCTTTTCAAAAGTATTTTTAAGTGACTCTATGAGAGTATGGCATGTCCAAACTTTGGTGTAGATATGATATGATTTGTAAGAATAAACTAAAAATAAAATAGTTTTTAGGCGTGATATTTTGATGGGGCTATCTTAGCCATTCATTCGGTTGAGAGAGAGGTGGCATATATAAAATCTCTATACTTGTGGTATAAAGAAAAGTTTTATCGAGTGGGTAAGCTTGCTTCACGTACATAAAAAATCCATTGATAGGGATGCAGTGTGGCTGGGGTGGAGGGATTATGATGGCGTGCTTGCATTCACTCCACGAGTTTCCTGGTCAAATACCCAATCCACACGACACGCACATAGGCTCGATCATCCTTAACTCTTAGGGTCAAATTTTAGAAGGACACAGCATTATGGAATTTAGTGAAGCTACACTACAAAATACAGTCGAAAAATAAAAGGAAAATTATAAATGTTTCTTTAACCTTTCTTTTCTAGGCATGGCCCTCCAATAGACGTAAATGACACTCCTAATTTCAGTTTCACCCACCCGTCAATGTCAAAAAGTAAGTTTTTCTAGGACTAAATCATTTTCTTTTTAAGCCACGTTTTTCACCCTCTCTAAGAAAGTTGTTTTTGGGTTGGGTCGGCTCTGTATTCAAGTAGTGCCGGTTCGGCTTGCGCCGGTCTGACACATTTTTGTGTCAAACCAACACATATTGGCATCACATTTTGGAATCACGGGTTAAAATGAATGATATTTTGATCTAAAAAAATTACTATTTTTACTTAAGGGATGGTTGCAAAATAAATGGCGTTGAGGTTGATAGTTTCGGGGAATAATTTCATGCAACAGTTGTATAGTAATATAATGCAACCACACTTCTAGACAATCATGTTTGTAGCATTTGTATTACACCAAAAATTGTACATGCCTTATCTTCATCCTAATAGTCAATTTAAAAAAAAAAATTCAATTTGTATAATAGATATAGTTAAAATGAGTCCCCTCCAACGTTGAATCTAGACCATCCATTTTATGAACTTTAAGATCGACGCCTTTACGAACTCAAAACTATTTTTTATCTTTTTCAACATTGTTTATCTAATGATAACAAAGTTGTCTAAAAATTTTGAAAAGAGAAAAATCATTCCATAGCCTAGATCTAGGCACCTTAACAAAATGGACAGCTTATGTTGATTGGGCTAAAATAACACTTTCTATGATGCATTTTCAAATTTTACTTGTTTGTTATTGTTCAATGGAATGAAAATAGTATGTATTTAAACTTTGGGATCAAACAAATGGATTTAGCATTGTTTTTGAAGCCCGTTGCATCATATTGCTATACAAATGTTGCATGATATCATTGAAAGTTGGACTATGTGATCAAGCGCGGTATATATAAATTAAAATTTTTCTTTTTTTTTATTCTTACACCAATAAAACCCCTCACAATGTCCAATTACAAATAAATAACTCTTCAAACAAATAAACAAAAGAAGAGAAATACGATTCTCACTTACTATATCTATTGAATACAATTTCTTGAGTCAAAACCTTGACTCATTACTTTAAGAGAATAAAAGAGCCCAACACAAAATTGGGAATAAAAGAGCCTAATACAAAATAAAATTTAAAGAAGTAAAATTGCTAGAGATAACTTCAACCGGACCCCACACATATTCTCCTCCTTCCAACGGTGCTCGGGATCAATGATCGGTCTCTTGATTCTCTTACTTGTAGTAAAATTCTCTCAATGGCATATGGATCTTGATTTTAGTCTTGCTCAAACCCCTTTGGCTTAACCTTTAGAGAGATGAGATATAGAAATCAAAGAGAGAGGGAGATATCTACTAACTAGAGGATCCTCCCCTTTGCTACTCACAAACAATAGATTCAAGAAGTTAGGGCTACGCCCCTTTTCAAACCCAAGAGAGATCAACTAGGTTGAGGTGCACCCCTTAAAAGACTTAGAGAGAGCGAGATGATGCTCTAAGTTGGGGCGTGCCTCCTTTAGAAAAATCTTGAAGAGAGACAATTCTTAGATAGAGATGTGTAAAGATTTATGAGGTGGGAGAACCTCTATTTATAGATTTTATATGCCTTAGGATTTGCCATGATTAGCAAGATCAAATCTTGATTGTCGATCTCATGAGACTTGTAGGGTGAGAGATGTGAGACATCCATTCCTTTGATCCACCATCAAAATTCAAATGAAAGTTACTATCAAGATTCAAAGGAAGGTGCTAGAACCTTATTTTCCCTTTCCTAAACCTATTCACGTCAAATCTTTAAATAATGAAAATATATTTCTTACTTTCTATTTTCGTATATCTATTTCTTATTTCTTGAATCAAACAATCTTGATTCATGAGACTTACTAAATATTTCAAATATTTCATTTTATTAGGCTAACGTCACCCAAAATTAAAAAGCCAACTTGCATGAGATAATTATCACCTTATTTGGTGATCAAGTAATCCTTACTTGTGGGGTGTGCCACTCCTTGGTGGCCTCTCATGGGCCCCACTCAATTACCACATGTGTAAAATGGGATCCCATATTTTATAGAGGGT